AGCAAATTAACTAAAGCATGAGTAATTATTTATTTCCGTTGATGACAAACTAATTCGCAACTGACAATCTGAAGGACATGGCCTGGTGCGTTCGGCGAAGGCGTCTGCGTGCGCGATGGTAGAGCACAATCAAGACGACGACGAGCTGGTAGCGTCGGCGAGTGGGGAGGACTAGGAGCTGTGCGAGGACGTCAACGCCGAAGAAGTTGAGTATCGTGTGCAGTAAGGAGGCGCCCAGGCGTGTTGGAGGCTGCGTCTGCGTTGGTGAGGATAAGATGGACTCGATGAAAGCTTTTCGTCTGTGGGTCACAACCACGGATAGATGGTGGGGACGGCGGGTGGGGCAGGCTACAATGGCAACGTCACCAACTAGTTGTGTCGCTCGTGCAAGCTAAACGAAGGCAATCGCTCTTCTGACTACGCGAGATGGAAGAGCATCTTTTTACGCATCTGAAAGTACCAACTGGACCCGGAAAATGCTCTAACGGCGTCACATTTGTTCTCCGACCGGGCACAGACCGCAATTAAAGAACGAGACTTCGCTGCTGCGTTACAAGGTCCGCTATAGCATCTACAGCTATACTGCTTTATCATCGGCCTGTAATCTAATATTTCCTCGTGTTTTGTAGACGCCACACAAGCGCTCAAGTACAATGCAAGCAATGAGAAAGCCATCTTACGCAAACTGGTGGCATTGGAGAACCTGGAGAGGTTCGAATCGGCTTTGCAATTGGCCAACGACGTCCTGGACAACGGGTAGAAGAATGCGCCTACGGTTTTTCAGTATTGTGTGGCTGCACGTCGTCGACTACGGAAGAACTTGGCCAGGGACCGTACAGTGGCTGCATTTGAGGTGAAGCAGATGGGCAAAATGGTGCACGACATACAGCAGCTGAGGGTCAATTTCGGGTGCGTAGTGTAGGCTGATTCCGGGCGCAGTTGTGAGGAATGGACACTAACGCGAATTTATTTTTATCTTCGGGTGATTTTAGATGTCTGCAACCGTCGCAAGTTCCTCTAGACCAGGTTTTAGACGTAAATGTGAACGTTGGCAACGAATTTGGTCTCTTCCGACGGGATTACGAGAGCGTTTTTT